CTTCAGATTTAAGCATGGGCAGCTTGCTACCTGGAGCATCTCCTCCCAAATTTTCTTGCCAAGGCAGATTCTGGTGACTGCATTTCCTGGCGAGAGCGACCTTCAAGCGTGTGGCGCAGACCTGAAGGCCACTTTGACCCATGAACTAGGGATCCGGGGGGCGGCGCCCTTGCAGGCCTTTGATATGTGCAAGATGCACCCATGCAGATAAAGCCTAATCCCCCTTTCCCAAGATTACCTAAGCTTCTGTTGATCATAGGTCTTGTGAAGAAGGTCCACAACAGTTTCGACGAAGGACATGTACAAGGATCTACCCCAAAGGCTAGACCTGCAAGTGTCCAGGTCACACACAAGGTGTTTAGACCGGACCTCCAAAATCTACTCAGAACTGCCTCAGTGCTAAACGTTTGTGGGCAATTGTCTTGGACATTGGCCAGGTCTAGATACAACAGGCTATCTTACAGCTTTAGTGCAAGTTACAATGAAGGTCCAAATAGCTGTAGCAGGCCGCAAGAGTCAGGAAGTAATCAAAACACATCGTTGCCTAACAAATTAAAAGATCTGAGGCCCTGGTCATCCCGTTTGCTGGCCTCCCAGTGGCAACGAAGAACGTGTTGCAAAAAGGTGGCTGGGTCCAACAAGGACTTCAAATCCACAACGTGCAGCTTGGTTTGGAGCAGTGCAAGGTCAGGGGTGCTGCCTGAATTCTGCGGCCGTGTTTTGCGTGTACACTGGCACCAAGGCATCACAACTCCTCCACGACAGCAGCACCTTGCATGCATCGAAGCTACGCCGCTACATTCCCAATTGTGGTCAATGCAACATTGTACGTACATTAAGCCGGCCCTGATGCCATAGAAGCCAGTGTTCACTGCTGCGTCTATTTGTGACGGATGCCGCGGCCAGAAATGACCGGACTGCGTTTCAAGCGCATTTTGGCCAGGCGCAAGCTGACATGTCACCAAACCGCCAAGCACATACAGGCTGCAGGCCCACATCCCGCAGCAAGGGCCTTGCTAGATGGCCTGACTGCAATACGTTACGTAACATCTCACGGATAGAAATCACTTAAGATGAGATTGCAGATAGAAAAAACAAAACATCTAATCCTGACCCACGTCGCACACTTGCAGCCATGGGCACAGCAAGCTGCTACAGCTGCAGCTGCAACTGCGATGAACAGGGCATGCAAGGCCGCGATGGCTTTGCAGTTCTGCAGACTAACTCGGCCATGTGCCCAAATGGGGATGCAGACGACTGGCTTTCCGATGCTGTTACAGATGTCACTGCGAAGAAGTCAGAGCTTGAGATTGCCTTCCTACTGCCAGATTCTTCTGTGCAGCGGCGAGTTTTCGCCAAGAAGCCCTTAGGCCTAGATTTCAATCGCCATATGCCTGTCACCATCAAGCACGTGCGGCCCGGAAGTGTGGCAGAGGAGTTGGGAGTCCAGCAAGGTTGGAAAGTGCAGGCGATCAACGGCTACGATGCCACCAGGGCCTCCTTCCAGGAGGTCTATGCAGCTCTGAAGGATGCCTCGGCGCTGCTTTGACCGCTATGCTGGCTATGCTGGTGGCTCTGTGGTTTGGAGCCCTGAATAATGGGTTTAGGGTTTAGGGTTTAGGGTTCCCTCTTAAATTGTAGAAAGCATTAGAAGCTATGGAGTTGGAGAGTGTGAAAGCCTTGACAAGTTATTCGGGTGCGCATATTGCCGATGTTCGGAGCAGCTTCCACCAGGCTGTTGAGCTGGTGATCCCCAGCACTGTATGATATAGCTAGCAGGACGCCAAAAATGAGCGCCTAAAATAATTCGCAGGACGTTCAAATTCACTGAACTGCATGGCAAGGGAGGCGGCCGCAAGCATCGCGTGCCTAAGCGTTGTGAGCAGTCTGCCGAGGGGCCATTGCTTCAACAGTTTCTCCCACGAGTTTCCTCAGTTTCCGAGTCAGAAGCCTCATTCCCTGAAGACTGCTCATTCCCAACATGCTTCGTGAGTGCGTGTGTTACACAATCGGCGAAGCAGAAATCGGGACAGAGCGCAACATGAGTCAGCATCCACGAATGCCATGCCCACAGGAATTGAGAAATTAGCTGACATGTGTTGTACGCTGGAAGCAAACCTCTTGTAATCTCCGCTGGGTTCACTATGTTTGCTCAAGTGCGCTCAGGAGATGGCGATTGCGCTGGGCATGGCCGCTGCCAAGCAACTGCTGCCTGCAGACCAACAGCTGCGAAAGGCAAGCTGCGGCAAGCTTTTTTCCTGGATGCGTGGGTTCACGGCGCCTGTCACAGAACTAAGATTGCCACCCTTTGGACAGAAGAGTATTTAGCAAAATGCTGCAGGCAGGCGTGACCTTTAAGTATGTCGCAGTGTTATTTTGCATCTTGTGTCTGTTTCATCCTTGCCTATCTTGGTAGCATCTGTCAGAAGAATACAGTGCCAAGCACAGCCATGATGTCAACAACTTCATAGAAAACGGCATATTCCGCTTGATTACCAGCAATGGGACTTGTTGTAGCAGTAAGCGTAAGAGGCAGCATGACAAAGATGCTTCCGGCCAATGCAACCAGGGCGACTGGAGCGCGCGCGGCCTCCCATCTGATGGTGACCCGGACCCCATGGTGCAGCTGAGACTGGGCTGTTTTTGAGGAAAGGCTGAAAGTCAGACTCTATGAGCATACGGTTGTAGGGTTTGGGCGGAGAGTTCAGTATGTATAGTGATGATGCACAATAAAGATTTTCATGCAGCTTCGCAAAAGCCCTTCCTTTCACAATCCTTAAACCCCCCGGATCCCGAACATCCTCTCTACTCAGAGAACCCCTCAACGAGGTACCCCAGTAGACCATGTTTCCCTCTTTTATTTAGGGGCCTCCTTATGAAAGCTGAACATTCGGAACAAAGGTACCCGGATTATTTAAAGGGGTAACTGGGGAACCTAGTCAATCTCCCAATCCCTGCACCCTAAACCCCTAAACCCTAAGCCCTAAACCCTAAACCTTCATCCCTGCTACACCATGGAAGCCTTCAGATGCCTGGATGATAGCCCAGGAGCCTCGATGGCCAAACAGCATTGGTGTGACTTGCCTTGAGCTTGGCTTAACCTCCTATATCCCCTATGGAATTATATTGGTACATATAGGGTTCAGGGTTTGAGGCATTGAGAACTACCATATATCCCTTGAAAATTACGATGTTTGTATTGTGGTCTAAACCCAAGGAACTATTGAACATGCGACTTTGTCGTTATAGGTGTAAGAGGGCTTGTCGTACTGGGGCCTGGCTGAACTTTCAGGGTGGTTCGTAGCGAATGCAAAAGAAAGTGGTTGCTACTCTCTTACACGTGTGTGAGCTATGGTCTAAATTCCTAGTCTCCCCCTTAATATCCCCTATAAGACCCCCCATATAACCTCCTGGGGGGGGTTTAGACTTTATGTAGGGTTGAGTAGGGTTGGGGGTATGGGGAGAGCGGAGCATCCACCCTAGTCAGAGAAGAAGAGAACTGAGGAATGCAGCAAATGTAGAGAGTATCAGGGGGTTATGGGTCCATTTTTTCATGGCATTGAGAGCCACTGTCAAAGAACGTATATGGCAGGATAGACGGACGGAGCAAGGCTCTGGGTAGTCCTGGAGACGTACGTTTCATAGCGCAGGCAAGCTTCAAGGGAGCAAATCGTGGAGGGCTTGGCCTGCCATCCATGAGGTCAGTTGTTTGTTTGTAGTGCTGTTATTGCAATGATTGGTTGTTGACTGTACTCTTATTACTCTAGTCAGGGTCAGCAGCATTAGTCATACTCAAAGTTGTAGTCACTGCTTTTCGTTCTGCTGACGTGACAGTTCTCGCGATTAATGATTCTGCCACTAATCCGCAACTTACGTCAGGCTAAGTTTTCAGACTTTGTGTTGAAGGGTGTTAGGTGAGGGCCTCAATTACCTAGCAAGGTAGTAGTATCCGGATGAGGGCTCATCTGTGACGCACGCCCAGGTTGACTTCACATTGTAAGGCGAGTGCAGATTTGCTAAGGCTGGGCTATGGCGAAGTTGGGCGCAGAGTTGCCCGAGCTCCTTATCCACTCTCATGGCTGACTTTGTTGGGTTCCTCTGGGCGATGTTTGTTTCCTCGTCGGGGATTTCAGTCGAGCATAGACAAGCCTCACCATGCGGCCATCGTCTCAGGCCAGCTTCTTTCCTCAATGCGTGCCATTTTAGAGCTGTTGATCTAACATATCCCAAATCAGAGTTTTTTGAAACAATTTCTGTAGGATCTTTCTGACTGCAGTGGGGATCCCACATAATTCTCTTGCAAGCCCTACATTCCCTACATATCCCTGGGTTCCCTGAAGGCCCCCTGTTTTTACCAAATCCAAGACATTGACAATCACCCACGTTGTAACCGAGGTGCTGGCGGCCATGAACATGCGAGTGGTCGCTACACGAAAGACAGCGCCGCGAGGCGACGAAAGCGCTGCGGAGCCAGGCAAATATCGGAGCCTAAATCCATACCAGTCATTGAATAGTGTGCTTTATCTGGCAGACACTCCAAAACCATGCCGTACTTGTGTAAGCTTACACTTATACAGAGCTCACAGAAACTTGGAGAGATAGGTCTTGCAAAGCATGGAATGGTTGTTTGATTATGCAGCATACAGGGTTTTAGAGGGGTGCACGAGGAGCCAATGCATCATTCAAAGGTCGAGGTCACCTGCCAGGGTTTACTCGGTTGACCCTCACGATTTGAGGTTGAACAAAAATTCCGTCTATTCTATCAGGAGCGAAGAATCTAGTCGGCGTAGAGAATTCAGTGTGAGACATCAGTCTTGCGGGTTGAAGGTGCTGTGAGTTTGCGCCAGTCATCGCAGCTGCATGAGCTGCTTCCGATGGCTCAGAGCCCCGGCGATACACTTTTAAAGCCACTTCGGCTGCCGGGGGAAGCTAATCTTGCCAACCTGCTGATCAAAGTACTTCTGGGTGTGCTTACAGTGCTTACATGGTGGAATCTAAGGATGCTTTTCATCTGCTTGCCCGACACTCCGGAGACAGAGGGCCTCATCGGTGAGCGGGAGATCTCGCTGCTTCCTCCAGGTGCCGTCATTGTCAACGTGGGTCGCCCCTTGTTGGCAGCTCATGGATGTTTGGCTTTGGTGCCGGCAGTGGGTTTCTGCGGCAGGCGCCGCCATCGCAGTAACACGGATATGGAGGTTTGGTGATGCAGCAGTAGCCGAGCCAAACCAGCTTCACAAATGATCTAAATTCCACGGGGCCCATGTCATCGTGGTGGGATCATGAGCCGGGGCGAGTGAAACAGAGGTATATTATATGTATATATGAGGCCTAGACCTTTGAGCATCGCTCGGCCGTGCAATTTGTTGGGTCGGGAGACTTGCTGACTTCATTCCTGAGGGGGACACGTGCTCAACGAGGAAGCCTTCTTCAAGGCCTTGCAAAACAAACACCTGCTTGGCGCTCCTTGGTTGTCTTTCTCAGGTTGCTTGAGGTCACTTGGTTGTTCTTGTGGTTCTACGTGCTACATAGACTCGAAACGTAGCACCCGACTCAGACCTCCAAGTCAGTCATTGAGTGAACATCTCAAGAGGTGTCGCGGAATCCGGGATCTCTTTTAGGGGGACGCGGGCAGTTTCGGGCTTGGATCTTCATGCTATGTGGATGCGTCTTGACGCTTGCATGTCTCAAGTCGAACTCGCGTGCTGGTGTGTTGCTAATTCTTCCGGGCTGCAGTTGAGTGAAGTACGTCGAAGTCTACATATCATGACTCAGCAGTGTCGAGAGTGCCGAGTGCCCATCGAAATATGCCGGCACTCATTTCCAGCATTGCAGCTATCTTTAAGTCCAATACCACAACCTAGACAATGGCAAACTTCCCGCCTAGGCTGGCGTTGACTGCTGGTACAAGTACCCGGCGGATGTCAAAAGCCGGTACAACACCCCCGTGTCTGCAAAGTTTGACTTTGGAGGATCGACCTCTGCCTTGCACGTGGGGTTCCTGACTTCATATAACATCATCGCCCTATCATGATCATGATGATAGGTACCTAAACCCCAAAAGTAGCCCTAAACCCATAATAATAGCCATACAGGCCATTATTTTACATACTTTTGGGGTCCAGGTACCACCCAAATTGGCAGGCTTGTAGCGAACATGGGTGCGAGTACGTTTGTAAGGCTTTGTCTGCCTCCGTCTGCAGGCCTCCCTGGCTGGTCCCACAATGATGTGGGGGTTTCCCAAAATTAGGGGGTTCCTTATTGGGGGTCCCCATGATAAGGATTATAGTATATATATTGGGGTCTATATTGGGGTCCCCCTATTCTGGGAAACTACCATGTATTGCAAATTAAGAGATAAAATTTGCGAAGACGCAATGCAGGGGGGTGGGGCGGGGGCAATTTGGGTTGTTTGAGGGTATATCTCTGGGGCCTCGTGTGATGCAGGCTGACGCATGGATGCTTTTGCGTAGCTCTCAGCCCTAGTAATAATGGTTAGTAGTAATCATAGTAAGAGTTCTAAGAAAAATAATAGTTTCGCCCGTGGCAGGCTTGGACAACATTGTGATGTCACCACACCGAGCTGGCTCTGTTGGTTGCTGCCTGAGCGGGCTTTTAAGCCTTAAGGGTGAACCTGGTACTTCGACAATACCGCAGAGAATGTCAGATAGCCATAGAAGGACAATACATAGTGGGCGGTAGCGGATACTATACAGGGTGAATGTAGACATCGTATAGTCGCGCGCTTTCATCCACCACCTCTCTCTGGAATGTGCTGGTTCTTGGCTAGGATGAGGGACCCCCGGGACCCTCCCTCTACTTGGGGTTTCTGAGTGGAATTTGCAGGGACAATATGGTTGCGGTTAATTAAGTTATCATGGTATGGGTATATAGTGAATAACAGGGTTTCCTCATTATAGTAATCTTACCATAGTTCCCATTAACAGCAACCGAGTTTAGGCAGAGCGGGCGCACTTTCCCTGTTGGTGTGGGTTCATGGCTTCATAGAAGTGAGGAAGGAAGCATGTAGAGTATCTGTGAGCTTATATGGTATGGGGATGACGTGAGGCATTAGTAAATAGTACAGATTTAAAGAATTGTCTGAAGGTGCATATGGTATAGACTTGCTTTTGTGGCGGTGAATCATCATTCCTAACGTATTTTCCTTGGCTCTGCTTATTGAGGGAACATGCGAATGCAACTTTAACGGCAGCACAAGAACGCCCCATCCCGGTGACAGTTGGTAAAATTCAGGTCTTAAAGGTTTTGTAGTGACAAGGGTCATGAAAACAGCACCCCATTCTTGTCACTGGCACTTTTGGATGGCAAAGGTCTGAGGGGCAGGAAAGCCAGATGGCTGACCACATAGAAGGGTTCATAGTTGGTGTTTAGTTGACGTGTAGGTTCACCGTCGATACAACCAAAGTTATGTTGAACCCACGAGACACTACCCAAGAGCACTTGGTGGACCTCCCTACATCCTACCCCCCTCCCCCCAACAAATATCCCTTCATTCTGTCCTATGATATACCCGCCTACATACCCCCAGTTTCCATTTCATTTTCCATGTTCTTTTCCATAGGGTTCTCCATTATGCCCTAAACCCATTCATGTAATTCTAAACCCTGTACAACCCCTATATTAGCCTACATACCCCCTATTATATCCTTTCTGAAGGTGCCCCTAATTTGGGGAAACCCTAAACCCCAATCCTGAAACCCTAAACCAAACCCAAAACCCTATATATGTTCCTCCCGTGGTCGCGATCCTTGTAACTGTCGTCACTGTTAGACCTTCGTGCTGTTTATACCTGGAGCTATAGCTCTACCTAGGCTCTATTGTGAGCTGGCACTACATCCCAGGAACCTCCAAATAAACTTGTGTCCAAAGTCATTAGAAGAATTAAGGCAACAGCATTAGAAGTCATATGGGATATGAGGCAGCATCATCTGCGAACACCCACATCCGCTTAATATACCACCAGAACCACATGGACAGGACCACCAGAACCACAGGACCCACCGGGGGGCATCACAAGCACAACATAGGTACCACAGGATGAAGCTTTGAGTCTCCTGCCAGTGCAGTCGCATGTCTAACCACCAATGCATGATGTCCTATGCTCAAGATTCTCGTGTAGGGGCTACCAGTACCTCCGTGCCTGAGTGTAGAAAAGAGACACCAGACCGCCTTGCTGGGCATAAGTATGACGAAGGGGGGATGGGGGGGGGAGAGGGGTTGACGAGGGTGGTGGTGGGGGAGGGGGGGGCCTGAACATGCTCCCCTATATGCCCTCTAAAGGTTAAAGGTACCCCTAATGTGTGGAAACCCATTCATGCATTGTGTGTCAGCAAGGTTTACCCGCCACGGAGCGCTTCCGCATGGCGGCTTTGGCAGAGCTGTTCAATGCTGCTGCAGAGAAAGGGTACCTGGGCCAGGTCCTGCCAGGCTTGTAGAAAGTTTAGGGTTTAGGGTTTAGGGTTCTCAAAGTTTAGGGGTTCTTGGTTATATTGCCGTTATATCTACTTGAACGGCGACTACATGCCACTACGACTGGTGCAGGTCCCTCTATAAGCCCTAGCCCAGGTTGATCCATCTTATCCTACCAATTAGACCAGAAGGGCGGAGAGAAAATGTTTTTGGAAGGACTGCCAGCTTGTAGATTCCAAGCAGTAGTTTTGGGAACGGCTTTGTGGGAGTCTCCACCCACGTATGATCCCTATATGTATGCAGATATTTTCCGGTTTAAGGAGCCTTCTGTTTTTGCTGTGTCTCCTAATCTGCTGAAGGTTCGCGTCCATGCCGAACAGAGCCTGAGGCTGCACTTTACGTCCTTGGTGGCTTCTCCTCGCAGCAATGAAGAAGGCACTATCAGAAAGAGTTTTCATTCAGCAGCAGTAATGCGGCAGTTGCCAGAATCAGAAGACAGTGCCTCGTAGTGACTAGCAACCTGCAACGTGCTCTTTTTGCAAGCGTCTTAGAGCTTGCTTGCTGACTGCTGAGGAATCGACATCGCCAAAGGTTATTGATTACTGATGGATTGCCTAGCTGACCTCAAAGACAGGTTGCCTGAAAAGGAGATGCTCAAAGAGAAAGGTGGAGCGAGAGACTTGCATTCTGGCCGACAAGTCATGCATTGGATACAGCACATGTGACCCCGGCATATGTATTGCATCTGCTTGCTGTGCACGCTGCAAAGCATCCCGTACATTGGTTACGGGCCGCAAGACTCAGATCCTGAAAAATCTTTGTGCCTGGCATCCCCAAGCCTTGGCTACACACTTGAACTAGTCAATGAAGCATCCAAAGGTTTTCATGTCATGTAGGGCGGAGTTATTGACGCCGAGCTTCATGTTTCATATCAAAGTCAATTTAGAGCATGTTGTTTTAATTGTACCATCTTCATAACTATGGGAGCTCCTGCCCCTATTGTAGTCAGTGTTCTCTTCCAACCTTTTCCCAAACTTCAGGAAATGCCAGAGCAGGTGCATTTTTGGGGGATCCCTATAACAAGGACCAACATACCGGGGTCCCCTTAAAGTCTGTGGAAACTGCCATATCAGCTCATATTAAAATAGTCTCAAGTCCCTAAAGGGGGTTGCGAAAGAGATTAAATAGGGGACTACTGCAGGGTTATTTGTGGAAACTACCTTGGCGTTTTACTTGCAACCTTGGACCCAGGCGCCACTGCTGATGGCGTATCTTATGGTGGCTGAGGCAGCTAGCCAAGATGTGTATTGCGGGTTTCCCAAAATTGCGGGTACAATGATGGGAGTCCCTATAATAAGGATTATCGTATTTGGGGGTCTCCCTATTTGAGGAAACCACCCTTGTAGAAAACCTGAATACTTAGTAGCATGGGAAATTCTTAATAGTCGTACGCATGATGTCAGTTTATTGTCTAATGTAGCTCGAAACTTTGCTTCGATTATTAAAGCCCTTGTATTAGCCGGGTTAACTTTGGGTTTCGGACTCTAGCAGGTATCCCAATAGCATTTTCCTTATTGGGAACCGACTGTTTCTAGGGGATGCCAAAATGAACTCACGGCCCAGATGAAATGTCTTAGGAGGATTCCACCCCCGTGTAATAGTCGTATAGAAGGAATACAATAGGGCCCTAATACAATCCTTATTATCCCTCATAGTTACTATTACAGGGCGGGGTGTCCTCCTTAGAAATGTCGAAAAAAGCAAGGTGTTAAGGCAGCCTTCCTCCTTTTCCAACACCTCAACCATAAAACCTAAACCCAGAAGCAAGTGGTGCTGGCAATCAGATTTCCTGGCCGTGTCTCTAGATGAGAAAACTTTGTCAAGCTAAGTCTTGCCTCTCCTCTGTAAGGGAATGCCGGGATGGATGTATACATGAGGTAGACCCCCCAACAAAAGTAAAGTTACTAAAAGGGGATAATGGTAATCATAGATTAGGGTCCTCTTATATACATGTTATACCGCTATTACAGGGTGTGTGTGTGTGTGTGTGCGCGTGCGTGTGTGTGTGTGTTATCCTCTGTACCAAAAAGTTGTAACTAGCTTCAATCAATGTTTACAACAATGTGAAATAAACCATGCAGGGGGCCCAAGGGCCATTGGATGGTTTGGGCCAACGAAGACCCATCCAATGTGCCG